GAAAACCAAATTTTCCTTTTCCCCTTCTCTTTCTCACCACCACAAAAAATACAGCTGACCGTGAACCCTCCTTTCTGTCCTACAATGATGCTATTCCTGCAGATCTGTCTTGGGGTCAGAGGAGTCTCACTACTGAGAAATGTCCTGTGTGGCTGTGTTTGCACAGTAATTACCCCTGCTTATTCCAGAGCAATAACCCATTCCACCCACTTCTGTGGTTCCTTGAATCCATCCTCCCACTTTATCAAGCACATCTCAAACAGGCAGCCAGCTGCCTGGTGAGGGGAAGCGCTGCAGCATCTTGGCCTGTCTCGATTTTAAACACTATTGTAGTTTCGGCTGAGGGCTCTGATGGGCCCGAGGGAATGGGGGGAGAGGGGACAGCAGCTTCCTGTGCATTTCAGCAAAGCAGAGACTGAGCCGGTGCTGCTCACCACAAATACCGGCACTGTCATGAATTATGCATTCCTTGTTTAAAGAGAGGTCGCTCTCATCAATAATTGAAAACTCCCTGCTCTGCCTTCAGCATCACATCTCCCACACCGGGAGTTAGGAATCTCATGAAATCTGCATGGACTTCCTCAAGGTGGCTAGAGGCTGATGGAGAGAGGCAGCAAAATGCAGGCAAAACAAACCAAAAACCCTGCTGACAGTTTCAGTGCATGAAATTAAGAGTCATCTGCATCTACCTGCAGCTCTGCTCCAGTTCTGCCCCTCACACTCCTCTCTCCTCCCCTCTCCACGCCTCTCTCCTCCCAGGGTATGCACAGAATGGTAGGCTTGTAAACATGGTACAAACCAAGATTAGCAAGTGTTTCTTGAAACTTTTGGCTCTGTTAGCTGAGACTAGTTTGCTTTGAGTGCTTGCCTAGAAAATCTCTACACTGAATGGCGGGATGTTCCCAGGGGACACTTTGAACCGTGAAACTTGTCCCTCTGGGAAGATAATGATCTTTACAGCCTGTGTCTCCAACTATAGCTGTACAGTCCTGGGGCTGGTTCAGCATTCAGGGTCTTCTAAGCCTGGCTCAGGTAGACTGGCTGCCCTGAACCAGAGGCTGCAAAATCACCTTTCTTGCAGACCAAACTTTTCAAAAGGTGTGGTTCTTATTCCGGATAAGGAGGAGGAGGGCAGAACCAAAACCTCAGAACAGACCTACCGAAGCCCATGTGATTCTAATAAATTTCTGAGTTATCAAGGAGGATGTAAATTGAGCAGCTTTTCAACACGGTTGTAGGAAAATTGCAGGCACCTGAACTCATATGTCAGCCTGATAATCCCCAGTCAGCTGGGTCTCTTCCTAACTTTCACCTTTCTCTGCCATTCACTCAGCACATCCTTTCAAACTCCTCTGCAACTTAGGGAGAAAAGTCACTGCCTGAGTTGTTCTCCAGCCTGGAATCCTTATCCCTCTCTCAATATCTGGGCTATCCTGCCTGTAACAAATTGTTGGTAATTAGTCAACAGCAGATGAAGGGACTGGTCACATGCAATGCTCTGAACCTCAGCCAGATCTAACTTCTCTTCAGTATCAGTCTGGGGCATTCGGCTCTTCTCACTGTGTGCTCCTCTGGTTCTCTTCTCCTGAATCCTTTCAGATTAAGGCCCCCTGCATCAGCACATGAGCCTAAACGGAGGCTGAATGTTGTGGTATCTCAGGAACTGAGAAGTCTGACAAAGCAGCATGAAACAAAAGCAGTACAAGAAACATTTTGTCCCTATCATGCTCAGTTTTGTGCTCTGTGTGTGTGTTTGTTTATTTTTTAATGGAGAACAGAAGATTGATGGATGAAATTAAGAAGAGGGATGTGTAATTGGAAAACAGCTCAAGAAAGCTACAGGCAGCATATTGAAGGCATCCATCAAACATCCAGCTAATGTTGTTAAGGGTGTGTAACACAAACAAGGGCTGCATGAGACACTAGGGAAAAAAAAGAAAAGGAAAGAGAAAGGGGAATAGGCAGGACAGGAGAAATAGCAAGGGAGGAGAAGTGCCAGCAAGAGAGTACAATCAATAATATTTGTATTGCGAGCACATCCAAAGGCTCCTGTTGGGATCAGTGCCGGACTGTACAAGCACATTAAGGGATAGTCCCTGCCCTCTACAGCTTAAATCCAGGAATTACCGGATGATCGCTGGAGATGGGTTTAGATGATCACAAAATTTTCTTCTGATCTTCAATCTCATTTAATAGGATCTACTCTGAAAGAGTTTAAGGCAGAAGGAAGGTAACTGGTTGTGCCAAGAATACACATAGTAATGCTTGCCAGCAGGCATGCAATTAATCTGAACCACTTAGGAGACTTTGTTTTTAATTATAAAAAGTAGGTAAAAATATGTGCAGTAAACCTCTGTAAGCCCCACTGGGGCCATCAGCAGGCTACTCAGAGGTATTGAAATGTGACTGGGTTCTGATACTCTGTTTTCAAAAGGATGGGCTGATGCTTTAATGGACTACTTTGTGGGAAATATTCTATGCAGGGTGGACATTAAGAGAATGCAAAGGGCCTTTGTGTGGGGAAGGATAGAAGACAAAGGCTAAAATTATTAGTAAGTCAGGGAATTCCTGCAGTCCTGGAAAGAGGTAAGAAAAGAGATTCTTAAGGATTGAGATAAGGCAGGTGAAAGATGTAAAGCAACAAAGAAGAGCACAAGCATGATGGATACAGTGGGAGAAAGTGGGGGAGAGAAGGCACCATTTTAAAGAGAAAACAAAGTATTCCAAGAGATATTTTTTGAAAATGGGGTTAAAGTCAGCTCCTCTGCAAGGTTCACAAGTTACCCAGGGCTTTATGCAAGGCTTAACTTGTTCAGCATTGCCTGCTTTGGAAAAGTAATAGAGAGAAGGTGCATGTAGAAATAAATGAGCACAAAGCACCAGGGGAGTTGCACACACAGACAACATCTCCACTTGTTTGCAGTGTTCGGGAAGCATGAACAGGGCTGGCTGGAAGGGGGAGGAGGAGAAAGAACTAGAAAGGGAATTCGTTAAAAAATCTTCTAACTCTGATCCACTCTCCTCTGTGCTCTCTTGGTAACACAGCTGCCACTGCTGCCTCCTCCTCTCCTTCCCTCCAGAAGCAACCTGAGTTTGCAGCAGTGGCAGATCTGCTGCATAGAAACTGCGTCTGTATAATTAAGTCCTTTTATTAAAGGGAAAAAGCACTGGCTGCCTGACTCTACTGCAGGGATGTTTGTAATTTCAAGCTACCAGAGGAAGCAAGGAGCTTCAAGGAGCCTGAGTGGACCTAGGTATCTGCTATTGTTATTAGCAATCTTTGGATTTCTTTTGTGGCTCTGTCTGTTTTCACAGCCATGAATGATGGAAGCTTTTCTCTGCAGTGCTGTGCGAGGAAGAGAAGGGATTTCCTGTAGGGAAAGCAGCCCCTGGAGTGGGTAATATCATTCTGCCCTGTGTCCAGCCTGGATCTGTAGCTTACCAAACACCTATGCCTTTGGCATTAGAGCTTGAAGGGGACTCTTGTACCTGCCTGGGACCCAGTCATCAAAACCCAATGAAGCTATGCAGAGCCAGCATGTTTGCTGCACAAGGCTCCTGCTGGCATCACCAAAACACTCCCACGTGTCCCCGGCCACACAGGTTCCTTGGCCCACTTCTTCACCAGTTTCTGATAGCATGAAAGTAGAGAAATGGGCACCATGGTGTTTACTGAGTGAGTAGGTAAGAAACATTAGAGATTATCACCATGAATGGCTGTTTTGGGAAGCAGTCAGTGGAAGTAGATTCCCTTGAGGGATGGCTCCAGTGTGGTACCATTGGTGCCGAACAAGGAATGAGCTTGTGTAGCAGTAATTACCTTAACAGGGAATGCTTGTGTGCATCCACTTGAAGACTTGCTGAGATGTGCTAGCTTCTGTCAGATCTGGCTGAAATAGATTTGATAGTTATTGGTGGTAGGGCACTAATGAGCCCCGCAATTGTATAATCCTTGTTTTTTTCAGGACACCAAGGTAAAATGTCAGGGAAACAATTAAAGACAGATTGTAAGAAGGTCCCAGAGGATAAATTTAGAATAGCATCTCCTAATAATTCCAGGAGTACCCTGTGGCTGCTGTCACTGCAAAGCAGAGCCCTTTTGAACTAGTTGTCGTGTTTCTTCTCACGTCATTCTCTAAGGCTGAAGCAAGGCAATCCTTCCCGTTTGGACAGATGAGGAGCTGCTAGACCCAAATCCTTGACAAGGAGTTGTCTTTGAATAATATGTGCCTAGGTCCCTTTTAGGACCCTGGTTTTAGATGACTGGCCTTCACTACACATAAAATTCCCTGGCCTTCAGCCCAGGACTGCAAGAGGATCTGGTGGAGCCTGCTGGGTACTCTGAAGTCTGTCATTTAAACTAAGTGCTGCAATAGCCAAACACTGGAAGCCAGAAGGAGAAAGTGATGTGGAATAATTAAACTTTCAGTAGGCATCACCAGCACTGTGGAATGACCAAGGCAGGGATTTCATGGAAAAGTTAGTAGGTGATAACATGCATCCCTGATTGCCTCAGATGAATTAAAACCGCAGAGATGAAAGAGATGCTGGCTATCTTGAGGATGCCTGACATTATTTGTTTTCTCCACTTGCATATGCAGGCACACAAATCTTTCACACAATTTTAAAAAATTGTACAAAAGAAGCAAATTAAATGGTCACTGCAAAGCTCAAGAATGAACACGAGTCCCAGAGAGGGGGCAAGTAGCAGTCTTCTCTGGCTTCAGAATCAGCAACATGAACAACCTTAAGTTAAGGACAGTGGGTTTATCATGGGACAGTGGAAGTTCTTTATAGCAACATCAATAGCTAAAAGCTTTATTCAATAGCACCAGAGTTGGCCAGGGCAGCTGGCCCATGGTTAGGGCCTGCAATGTTAATGGGGCTCCTTGTGAACTTAGGCAAACACTTTGCTGGATCAGGGCCAAACATTTATCATGTCTCCCTGCATTTGTGGCAACTGATATTTTGGAACCTTACTCTTTTTTCTTTTCTGAAAGGTAGAGAGATGCCTGGGCATTGGAAGCTCCCTGCAGCATGCTGAGGAGACGTAACCTTCTTACCACGCTCCTGATTGCCTTGCCATGGGCTCTTCTCCTGACCTTGTGGCACCAATACCCAACCACCCACTACCTCAGCCTGCTGAGAAGTAAGTGCAAGAGTTCTGCTGTCATTGTGCTGGTGGTTGTGATGATTGCTGGTTCGAATCCTGGTAGGAGATGCTCTCTAGTGGGATGGGTTAAACAAAGATAAGGTTGCCTGAAGGCCCCCTAAGGGTTTGCCTACAGTAGGCACATAAACTGTTCTTAAGAGCATGTTAAACATGTATCTTGGGCTGGCTTTGGGGAGAGGATGCTGTTGTGCTGAGCACTGACTTCAGACAGATGTGTCCCAATCTCCTCCTTGAAGAGGAGGCAGCCCGGCAGTTGTTAGTCCTCTAACATCTTCTTGTTCTTTTCTCCTTCTCCTTCTTTTTCTTCGTCTTCCTGTTCCTTCCTTCCTGCCTTCCTTCCTTCCTTCCTTCCTTCGCCCCAGAAGAGACAGATGAGAACGTGACCTCTAAAGCTCTCCTCAATGGTACGTCTGCACTGAGAGAAGAAGGCTTCCCATCATGCACTCGGCAGCAGCAAAGCATAGGGGCTACCCCTAAAATCATCCAGAATTATGTGTACTCCAGGCCTCCCCCATGGTCAGACACCCTGCCAACCATCTTTGTTATTACTCCTACCTACACCCGGCCGGTGCAAAAAGCTGAGCTGACCCGCCTGGCCAACACCTTCCTACATGTACAGAACCTGCACTGGGTGGTGGTGGAGGACTCGCCGCGGAGGACCAACCTGGTATCCAACCTGCTGGAGAAGGCTGGGCTCAACTTCACCCACCTCAATGTGGAGACGCCCAAGAGCCTGAAGCTGGGTCTCTCTTGGATCCCATCCCACACCCCAAGAGGGACACTGCAGAGGAACCTGGGGCTGCACTGGCTGAGGGACAGCTTCAGCAACACTGCACCACCAGAAGGGGTGGTGTATTTTGCCGATGATGATAATACCTACAGCCTGGAACTCTTTGAAGAGGTAAGAGATGTAAAATTACATGGGGCAGAAAAGCAGGATATAGCTGCAGAGCCTCTTAAGTCCAGTTGCACTTGCAAAGACCTCTAAGGCAGGTCTACCACATGGACTTTTATCATCAGCTGGGAGACAAGGGCTCTGGCATGCTGCCTGGAGCCCACCTCACCAACTCTGCATATAATGCCGGCTGGGTGTAGGGCAGATGCAAACCTACAGTTATGCAAACCCAGGAACCATGTTTCAAAGGGCTTAACGAGCAAAGAGCACATCTGCCATAGTACAGACTGCAGATGTGAATAGTCACTCACACACCATTGCACCAGCTAGAGTCCCTTTTGCAGGGGACCAGAGGATATATACCCCAGAATTTATACTTCACCACAGGGACAGCTGACCTAATTTAAATAAGCACCAAAGACATACTTCCGGCAAAGCATAAATCTGCACTGTTGTAGGGGTGTGATGGGTAGGGGATGGCAGGACAGTTGTCTGAATTTCTAGTCTGCCTTTACTCCTTGGCTGCCCTTCAGTACTTCAGTTGCAGCCACCACAACAGGGCTGTGCCTCTGGGATCACAGAAGCTTGCCCAGACTTCAGCTGGAAACCTGGCTTTTGTGAGATGCCAAGTCTATTGTAAACTTGCAAAAATCCAGTAAACTCTCTTGTCACCAATTAAAGCCAAACTGTACTAAGCCACTTGAAGTGCAGAATTATGCATCAGAACATATTTCCAGTTCTCAGAATTTTTTAGATGTCTGTTAAGCTCATCCTTTCTTGCTTCCTTCCAGATCCTTTCTGACAATTTCAATAAAACCACACTCTTTTAGGCAGTAGCCATGGATGAAAAAACAGGGTGGGGGATGGGGGGAGAAATAATAAATGAGGACAAAGATGGATCAATCATGGGGGGAGATTACTTCCGTGAGGATGAAACTGGAGTGAGTGGCGTTAATAGTACAGAGCTAGAAGCTTGGTAGAAGTTGTACGTGGCATTTACAAAAATGATAAAATTCTACCAAAAAAAGGAAGAAAGTTCAAATGACATCAGAAAACCGAAGGTTTTCATTCTTCTGAGGGACTGAACATGGGCACAGAGAAGCAGTGAAGCAGGTGTTCAGAGGATAATGTGCTAAAAAACAGTCTTGTGGCTTTGGAAGCTGTAGCTCTTCAAGCGGTAGCACTAGTGCTGCCTAGAGCGATGTGCTGCCTAGAGCAATGTGATTGAATGAGAAGTCAACAGGGGAGGACGGGTGCCAGTGAAAGCAAAGAATGGCACACTAATGGTTTGGGACAAACACTGTGGGGTTGAATTCTCACAGCACTGTTTCTTTCCGGCACACAGATGCGCTACACAAGGAGGGTGTCAGTCTGGCCAGTGGCTTTCGTTGGGGGGCTGCGATATGAATCCCCAAAAGTGAGCCCAGCAGGGAAGGTGGTGGGCTGGAAAACCGTATTTGATCCTAATCGTCCCTTTGCTATTGACATGGCTGGATTTGCTATCAGCATCAAGCTGATTTTGGAGAAGCCTCACGCCAGTTTCAAGCTGGAGGGAGTTAAAGGAGGCTACCAGGAAACCAGTCTCCTGAAGGATCTAGTGACCATGGATGGGCTGGAGCCCAAAGCAGCCAACTGCACAAAGGTGAGTAGGACAAGAAACCTTGAAGATACAATCTCCTTGCTGTGTCCTGGCTGCTTTTACAACCTTCTGCCCTGCTCCTCTACCTTCCACTGTGCCTGCCCTGTGCTGGCACATGTCAGTGCCAAATGGTGTTGGGACAGACGGACAAAGCCTGCCAAATTCTTCTCAGATGTGAAGCTCAGAGAGAGCTGAGAAGCAGTGTTATGCATTCTGTGTTAATAAAGAACCTCAGACGTACAATTTGTGCCCAGACTGCTTCTCCAAAATCCAGGAGGATTGGCAGAGGTTTGAGTCTGGGGTTTTGGTCCAGAATGATTCCTCCTCCTTGTCACTGTTTCATGCACCTGTGAAGTGTATCCCAGGATCAACCCCTTTGAATCACGTGCTTCAAACAGCTGTGAACCCCAGGTTTCTGAGTATCCCATCCCATGGATGTGGTACTCCCATTGTTTCCATGGCATCCAGAATCCTTGAACTCCTTGTATTTCCTTCTAGGTGCTGGTCTGGCACACGAGAACCGAGAGGCCCACTCTGGTTAATGAAGGCAAGCGTGGATTTACAGACCCCAGAGTAGAGGTGTAAGCAAAGAGCCAGCTCCAGGGTGTGAGTACCTTTGTCTGTATTGTTTTTAACAGGACAAAAAATGTGTACCCGTCTCCTTATTTATGCTATTATTTCCTCAAAAACTGCATATATGACTGTCCCAGTAATTAACCATGCCACCCTTTGAACAAGAAGTTTCTTACTCATTCAATACTCCTTGCAGATCACATGGAAGCTTTGCCAGCTTACAGACAGAGAGAAAAGTGGCAGCAGAGTCCTTCAGCTTCACTCAGTATTAAGGACAAGATAAATTCCTTGCTCCACTCTTTCTGCCAACTCCAAACTCTCTTTAGTGTGGGAGTTGTCCTACAGTGTATGGAAGGAAACCACACTCCTGCAGACAACCTTTTGTCCCAGAAGCCCTCCCACCTCTGCAGTGCTTCATGCATCCACCTTCAGCTTTTATCCTGGATGAACAGCTGTGGTGTGGGTGCAGCAGGGAAAGGCTGATGGAATGCTTAGACCACCACAGAACAGGAAATGGCAAAGCACAACCTACACAGACTCTCAGTTTGAGGGGTTTGGTACCAACGTTATGAGAGCTAGGAATACATCTGCTGCTGAGGAGAAATAGTAAAGGCACTAGGAAGTGCCTTTGCAGTTCGCAGAGCCAGGATCAGCAGAAGAATGGGGGATTATGGCAACCAACACTGGTGAGGGCAGGAATGTATCAGAGATCATCGATATGTTCTTAGGAAGAGCTTGATGAAGAACAGGCTTCAGAGGAGCTATGACCTCCTTTGCCAGATGCCATGCCCTCTCATCTCAGTGTCTGCCCCTGACAGATTCCTATCCTAAAAGATTCAAAAGAATAAATGTATCCCATTTTGGGAGTACCCAGCTCTTTCTGAAATGATTCATATCTGTGTCAGGATACAGGATGCTGAGTGATTTAGTCCTACTTAGGAAGATATTCTAGGGCTGCTTTTAGTTCTGACCCCAATATACACCTCAGCTCAGCTCTACCAGTGGAAATAAAACTGGCAGCTTTTATACAGACAGGAACAAGTATTTCAACTTCTGCACTGATTTCCTGTGCGCATCACGAGTAGCTGCATACAGCATTTCCACATTGTCTCATCATCTCTGAGTGACAGCTGTACAAAGAGTGCAAAGCAATCCCAGTGCCTGCACACCCAGCAGCAGATGGAAGGGACACACGTCAGTTGCCTAAACACAGACACCTGGTGCCACCATAGGCACCCTGGGGTAGCCTACCTGGCCCTCCTGTAGGGCACAAACTCTGTACCGTATCTGCCAGCCTTTTATTAATATCTCAGATATCTTAGCAACCCATAAATGATGCAAGACACCTGTGCTTAGGCAGCAGCTCCGCTTTTCACCACTGCTTTTGTGAGATCCACTAGCAGCAACAGGCTTATTTTGCATACTCACCCATTCTGAGCCTGCAGTAGGCTGAAGGTAAGATTGCCCAAACTCAGCTTACAAGCCCTCAGAATCTGGTTAACTGGTCTGGAATTACCACTTACCTTGTAAAGAATGAGCAGGTCTATAAAATCTCAGATAGATTAGATCCTCCTTGACTAATTGCCAGAGGAGGGGCTGACTGTTCCACTACAGATGCAGGGTGCAGATGCGATGTTTCCATAAATGTGCCATTTACATATCAGCACTTTTGTCCTCACCATCTCTCCCAGGCCAAACACTCAGTCATCCTCCATGAGAAATGCCACACAGAAGCTATGGATTCTCATGGGAATGGCTCCCCACAAGTCATTTGTTGTGGGAAAGGAAAGCAAACAGTCTGAGAGATAAAGACGCTGCCAGACGTTCACCAGCAGGACTTGCATCCTTATCTAAGCCATCCTCTCTGATGCTTTCAAGCAGATTGTTGGCTGGGTCAGCCCTGTAGATTTTGAAGGAGCTTTTCACTTGCACTAGCAGTGAATTTGACCACAATACCTTCTGCATCACTGTCTGCCGTGTGGGGCATCTACTCTGACCTGCCAAGTGGGCAGGAGGCATCCACTCCAGGAGACACCTGCAAGGTAAATTGCTTGACTGGGCAGTCAAGCAAAATTGTTAGATTGCCTCTCTAAAAGTTTTAAATTGAGATCTCTGCTGATGGCTACGGTGTTTCGAAGGTCCTTGCTATCAAGGCAGCTAAACTTCAGAACTTTGACAGACATGATCTCGATAAACCAGGGCTGAGGGGAAAAAAAAATTTGCTTCCCTGGGGATATTCTGTTCTTAGACACAATAGGGAGAATGTTTCCGTCTTTCCCTCCTGGCAATTAGTCCTTGTTGAGGATCAGACTGAGCCAGTTAAATCCCAGACCTCCCAGAGTCTTCTTTCCCTTCAAAGCCTGCAGATGTGAACTAGGCAGACATTGCTTGATGCAGGATTTGGCAATCGCTCATAATCTCTAGTTGGGCCACTTGCATGGCTGCTTGCCACAGAGTAACCAAAAGCTATCACAGCATACATCCCTGCCGACTCTACTGAAAAACCTTCGAAACACAGGCTTTGGCTTCTGAAAATGGAAGACAGAAATTAATTTCACTTCCTTTTTTTCTTTGTTAAAGCCCTGAAAACTATCACTCAAGACTGGTATTATAAAAACTACTTAGTCTTATTTCTAACATTTATTTACAGGCATTTGAGAGAGAAGAGTGTGTTTAGGTTAACACAGGGCTCCTGATGCCTTGTGAAATTCAGAAACAGAGAAAGTTCATCTGCATTTCAGAGCTCCCAGACAGATTGAACAGGGATCCTCAGATCTCATCCTCCTGCTCTTTCTTTAAAAAAAATTATCAAAGCAGTTAAAATAATGATTTTTAAGGGCAGACAAAAAAAGATCCATCAAAAACTTTATCTAATCCATAAATAAAATCTCCCGGCTAGGACTCTCTAGTGCAAATAGAACGAGCAGCTCTTCAGCCATATCCCAGCCCAAAGCTGTGCACAGTGTGGCTGAGGAACCTATTTGCTGATGCCTGCCAGGTGTTTGCCTCAGCCATGGGATAGTCCTGTTATACTGGATGTTGTATTGACACCTCTATCTCCTTCTTACCTCACCTTGTGTTTGTTTTGACAGAGGCAGCTGGCTGTGATCGTTCCTGAACTTTGTCAGCAACCATAGCAGCTGTGCACCCTGCCTGTTCTGCCCAGCGCTCTGCTCCACTGCTGGAGGATGATAAACACTCCCAAATGTCACCACTCTGATCAGCTCCCACTGCCCAAAAAGGTGGTAATAAGCAGGGACAGAGCTTATGTGATGCCCTGCGATCCTCCCCACCTGGGAGAGGAGTGCTTCCCTTCCCCCATGGGCCCTGTACTTCTAACCATTCATTAAAATTTATTAGATATGATCTTCATTCTCAGCTGTGCCAGCATAGGGGTTGACATCTGGGATGGGTGCAGGTGCCTCCAAAGGTCTCTCCTGCCATATGTAAAACCTGAGCTTCTGTGATTCGAGGGCAGGAGTTGTCACTAAAGCACAAATGTGGACCTGTTGGCCTGAGGCTGGTATGCTCTCAAACCAGCTTTAAAGCAAAGCTAGCCTGAGACACTCTCGCTCTGAGGGATGCATTCAGATACTTACATGGATCAGCCTTCAGTGTTGGAGAGGAAGCTGTGATGAAGCACCTCATTTGGGGTTTGGGAGTTCAGAAGCGATCTGGTGCCTACCTGTCAACTGGGATCTTGAACTGTTCCTGCTTAAGGTTGTTTTGGAAAATGCCATCCCAGATCCCCAGGCACAGAACCCTCTGGATAAAGTTCCTCTCCTGCTCGGGGAGACCTGGCAGGTACTGTACCTCAAAGGCCATGCCTCTGTGTCTTGCTGTAGGGACCAGAAAGCAAGGGCAAAGATGGATGGACTTGAACATGTTCAAGGCCTGGAAGCCTGCTGCAGCACCATCAGGTGCTCCAGTAGTCTCAAATCATGTACATGGACTTCCTTCCTAGACCGCCAGAGAGGAAGACAACTCTCTGAAGTGGAGGTGGGCTAGAAGTGCTCAGAGAAGAGGAACCCTCAGCTGGCACTCATCTGCTGTGAGAACATCAAGGAATGGGGAGACATCACTGGAAAACCTATCTTGAGCACTTACATGACAATTGAAATAGCAAATGTGACAAGGTTTTCCAATTGAACTTTGAAAGGAGCATGTGGTGCTGTGAAGAGAGAGGAGTCAGTGTCATGTGGAAGGGTTTCCCTTTCCCTCAATAGAACAGGAAGACAGCCAGGTGGAAGGCAGCCCACAAAGCAGGAGGTGCAAATGAGGACCGAAGGAAGGATGCACTGGATTAAAAGCACAAGTGTTGGTACCATGTGTGTGCGTGGGGAGTGGTGTTGCTGTGACTTTTCCAGGAAGATTCCTTGAATGACCCAGAAACCCCTTTGAGCATATCTTGAAAAAAAACCTTCTTCACTCAGGCCATGAGAAACAAGGCTTTAGGCATTCAAAATACATCAAGGATTTCACAGCTGGGGGAAAGTTATAAGCAACTGAATCATCCCTCACCCAAGAAATTCTGGGCTAGCAGAAAACTTATTTATTTGTTGATTTATTTATACTAGAATTCTTCTCTTCCTATTCCTTGTTTAGTTTTGATTTTTAGCTTAGATCACCTGACATATTCATGAAGAAAGAATATTACCCACTCGCCTCAAAACAGTAGAGCTTGGTGTTCACCGATGAATGTCATATGTTTTGTGCTCCCTGAGGTTTTTTTAAAATGGTGTCTTAAACTGGCAAAATAATCAGAAGCACAGCAAGGAGGGGAGTACAGCGAAGGAAATTATAGTTCCTTTATGCAAGAGACGTGGGTGGCATCAAGTTTCTGGCTCCCAAGCAATCACTGTGAGGTAAAAACATGAGCAAAGGAGTGCCTCACTCAGCAGATAGTCCCCATGGGATCTTAGGAAGCCTCCATGAAGGGGCCTTCTTGAAGAGTATCTGAGAGAGGGAGTTGGTCCATATTCCCTCAGTGGAGAATGAACTGCCATGCATCCTGCTAGGAGGGGGCTAAAGTACAGGAGGGGGCAAAGGGGATGAGATGCCTCCCTTCAGAGAGGGAGACAGCAGAAATCAAAGAATAGGCAACAAATAGAGAAATGGAGACTGTGTTCAGTGAGGCTTCGGACAGGGTCTGTCTGGATGAAGACACCCAGCAGTACGAGGCCATCCTCCCAGCTGTCTCAGTATGAAGAAATACTGAATGGGCTGAAAAAACAGTGTCTGGTCCCTAGGAAGGTCCTTACAGAGCAAGGGTCTGGCGTACTGTCACTGGATAGCATGAAGGAAGCCCAGCATCCACAAAATGCTTTTCACTCTGCATTTCTCAGAGCTTTCTGTCCTGTCCTCTTCAGAAGGTAACAGGGCTTGCACTCCAGTGAGCTTTGCCAACCCATCCTGCCAACAGGGCTCAAAGCTTCTACCCAGCATTAAACCAAGATTAGGCCCCCTTCTTTGTGATTTTAATGAATGAGCAAGAGTGAGGGAATAAAGGAGTTGATTTATGATCCTCCATTTTCTCCTCTGAGATAGGCAGGGTTTCTGCCCGTATGAACAGGAGGAGGAATGGTAATTAGTTCTCAGGCCTTTAGTCCTACACAGGCACTACAATAGGCTTTTGACACTGACAATGAGAGTGTATACCAAGGATCTATTCTCTTTGCAACACATACCACCATACACGTGTTTTTAGTGAGTTGTTGTTTCTACACCCCAGAAGAAAGCAAAATTACTATTCCTGTATGTACTACACTGTCAGTTCAGTGTCGGTCAGATTCAGCTCTCAAGACCAGCCCCACCACACCATCTCCATTCTTGCCCCGGCCTAGCCCTGGGGAGCAGACTTTCTGTGAATCAAGAAGTTCTGTCTGTCACTAAATTGTGCAGAACCAAGACCTTGTATGGACAGCGTGAATGTACGCAGCTGATGTTCCAGGCTAGCAGACATTTAGACCTGTTCAGCACAAATGCTCTTCCCTGTAGAGCAGCCTAAGGACAGCAAGGACTGCTGCTGGCCAAGGTGTATCAGCTAAGTTAAGATGCCTGTTTGTTAGCAGAGATGGGTGGGAGAGCCCAGCAGAGAAGCAACTGTCAAGAGTTACAGGCTTCAGGGCAAGTGAATGCAGTAAGGAGGGAAGCTGCAGATCAAGCCTGAAGTATTTAAACAAGAGAAGGCATCCCAGTGCCTGGTTTTTACTGGCGCATTAGTTAGTACCTGATATTCATGTTCTCTGAGATTCATCCAATTCACCAACCAATGTATATTACTAACCTTTCCTGTTGCAGAAAATACTAGTGATGAAAGAAGGAGAATGTCAAGAAAGCACTTTTTAATGGTTATTTATTTATATTGAATGGTACTAGAGCATTATTAAATACAATGTGAATAGTATGATATTGCACCATTGTCTTGTCTGCAGCGTAAGTGCTTACTCCTTTTCCAGGAAAACACAGCGGACTCTGCAATGGAGAATGTATCCATTTTAGTTATTCTCATTTCAAGGCTACTCATTTCAGTCTTCATCTGACCCAAATGTTACAAGAGAAAATCAAGCAAAAACATTTCAGGTCCCCAAGACTGGTGCCTGCATTATGGAGATATAGGAGACAGGAGAATATAACCTGAAATCTATAGTCTTACGGCATCTCTAGCTGTCATTTTGGACATGGTGACCATCCCTACTGAGATTGTTCTGCAAAGGTGCTGACCACGACTCAGAAGCGAGTGAGTGGTGGTCAAAACATTGGGCAGGCTGTCAGTTCTCCATCATAAAAGAGAGGGGAAGACAAGCTCTCTCAGTGAAACGTCTATTTGACAGGAAGACACTGTTGGCTAATCCAGAATCCTGGAAGAAGCTAGCAGATCCAGGTCCTGTTTGTAATGCTCTCACTGATTTGCTCTGTCTTTGGGCCAAGGTACATGACCAAGGTACGTAACCCAGTTATCTGGGTTTTTTAACACCAGCAGGACACCCACCTCCCAGAAAAGTGGAAGAAGTTTCAAGACTTTTGTGAGGAAGCCTTGCTGAAAATTTAGCATGTTAGAGCACAAGCCAAATTCATATATGTGTAATAAAAAAAATCACATTCACAAAGATGCTGCTTAAAGTACAATATGAAGTTTACAAGCCAAGATCCTGCAAAAGGCTGAGAAAGAACTTCTGTGGCCAAAGAACCTGAAACATCTACCCCATTAGAAAACAGTCACTCCCAAAAAAGAGGGACAGCTCTGATTGGCTGTAGTGACTGAAAGTTGCTGCAATGTTTGTACAACAACTAATTCTTCGTCTTCCTTTTATAGAAACCCTGGGGACTGAGAGGGCAGTGGATAAGGCACATTGACCAACACCATAGGAGCATCTGCTCTGGTATTGCTCCATTACACCAGCTGTTCCTCCCCTCCTTGGGCCCTGCATTTTCAAGGCAAAGCTCCCCAAAGTCACTTTGCTGCAGGGATCTAATGCAGGCCCCAGGAGACAGGGCATGGAAGGGAGGTGGAGAGAAAAAGAGCAAGCAAGAATGAATCTTATTAAATGCCAAAGTACTTCTTTCAGTCTCTCATCACATTTGGGGCTGATTGGAGGTAAAACTGCACTTGGAGGGAGGGAAAGCCCCCTCCCCTGGGACAATTCAGAGGCTGTCGCACAAACTTAATTTCAAGCTCTGTTGAAGATGGTGTTTGTCTTTTTTTTTTTGTATGCATTCAATTTAATTTCTCAGGCAGACGTGTGAAAATGAGAAAGGCAGACTTTTGACTGTGAAGACAGCCTCGTGCCTGTTTCTCACAGATCCAGTCTCACATTGTTTTCCTCCATCACTGCTCTCAGTAAATCGCTATGCAGAGGTTGCTAAAATGCCCGCCACCTCCCTTCCACGCTTCGATGGAGACAGTTACATTTTTTTTTTTTTTTGCTTTTAAGCAATACAATTCACTTTTAATTCAAAACACACCCTAGCTTTCCATAGCTCTGTTTAAAACAGGATCATTGTGACCTTGGAAAGGCTCAGACTTGCTGGCACCATGAAGTTCTGATCTGTACTTTGCTCTCCAGACCTGACTTGTTTGCTCTCTTGTGAGAAAAAGGGTCTTGGTGGATTTATGATCTACCCTTTTTGGTGCTGATGATTGAAGGGGAAAGAGATGAGCTGCATTTGGTTTTGGAAGGCTCCCAAGGGAGACATTCCTGGACATTCAGCTCTCTCAGCCTGCACTGAAACATGTGCTGTTTGGCTCCTCTGCAAACAGTTGATCTGGCAAGCTATATGTTCATTTTCCAGCCTTGAGAGCATATATACACACAGGTAAAAATACAGATTGGAGTAGGCTTCTGCCTTTCCATCTGACCTGATTTTTCTGACCAAAAACTGGCACAGGGTGACGATTTTTAAATCTAAGCCCTGGCTGCGAGGAAGTTAGCAGAGCCACTGGTGCGGGACAGTTCTAGTGGGTCCAGCTTCTCCCTTCTCCAAGACAGATGGAGGCAGACATGCTTTGCCCAAGTTGCTCCTACATTGTGATTTCCTACTGTGACCCAAGGAAGGATCGCAAGCGAAATATAAAGCAGTACTAGGCCCTAAAACAATTGCTGTCTGCAACTCCAGGTCATACCACGAAAATCTTGGTTGCTTTGTTTGTTTCATAGCTGACACAGAGATTTTTTCCTGTCCATGGCATTGTACTCACTGGAGCTACCATGGAACAGCAAGCGTTGCTTTGTTTTGTGGAGGGGAAGACAAGCAGGGTGGGTTTGCCGTGATCGTGGAGGGAATGGCACAGGGAGAATGTAAACAGTAGAGACTCACAGCAGTGTGCAAGAAAAGCAAGCTTTGCAGCAGCAGCATTGGGTGGGTTTCAGTAAAGAAAGACTTTGCCCAGGGAAAAGAAATGTTAAGTACATTTTTCATTTTAAAAACCAATTAAGTTTAAATTAAATGTGAAATGACGACAATTTGCATCCAGGCCTTAAGCAATCCACTTAAATTGAATAATGAGTTGTTCTGTGCAGCAGAATGACTGAGGTCGTTTCCTCTGTAGACGTATGCCCTATATCTTAGACCAAGTCTGAAGGAAGAGTACTCCCAGCTCCCCAGCTCCCCATAAAAGTGCTGTCAGCCTCTCCCCCCATCTTTTTCCTATGCCACCCTATTTGGAGGACAAACAGCAGCACATGCTTCACAGAATCACAGAATGGGTAAGGTTGGAAGGGATCGCTGGAGATCATCTGGTCCAACCTCCCTGCTCAAGCAAAATCCCCTGGAGCACGTTAGTCAGGATTGTGTCCAGGTGGCCTTGGAATATCTCCAAAGAAGGAGACTCACAGCCTATCTGGGCAGCTTGTCCTGGTGTTCAGTGCTGTGCCTGATCTGGGATCGCACACAGGGGCTGGCTGCCTGGCCAGCGGCTATACCTTGGAGCGGGATGCTGAGCTCAGGGTGCTGCCCCCTCTCACGGGCACAGATTTCGTTTTAACTCTCTCCCCAGTGCAAACCCAACCCCTGGCTCTTCTTTGGAGCCTTGTAGGAATTTAATACCTGTAAGACGTCTTTTCCTCTGCCGCATTTAAGTGAAAACGGGCTCACAATATCAGGCAGATGACTGACAGCGCAATCTTTTAAGAAGCCCCATCTCTTTACAGAATCAGCCAGTGAAGAGAGGATGTGTAAAAGCCAAAATACTTAGGGACAGCGAGGCCATGGCGGGAGGCCCCTCACAGTGGGGTTGTGCTGCTGTGGTTCCTTCAGGCGCAGGCAGAGGTGTACCCATTTCACAGAATCACGAATCAATTAAGTTGGAAAAGACCTCTGAGATCATCAAGTCACATCAAGCACCACCATACCAAGGAGATCATGGCACTAAGTGCCACAGCTGTTCTTTCCTTAAACACCTCTGGGGACAGTGACTCCATCACCTCCCTGGGCAGTCCATTCCGATGTCTAAATTTCTGTTCACCTCTCCCTGACCAATTTAAAGTGGGAACAGCAGCCAGGTGTTGACCGAGGAAACGCCACGCTGTGCAGCCCAGTCGGGGGGACGGGGTCGGACTACACCTCCCAGGATGCCGCGCGGGAGCACGGCCTGCCCCGGGCCCGCCCCGGCTCTGCATGCTGGGAGCTGTAGTCTGGCCGCGAGGTGGGCGGGGGTGGGCGGGCGCTGAGCCCGTGCCAGTGCCACAGCGAGCCCGTGCCGCTCTTACCGGGGCTCTGCTCGGCGTGGCCTCGGACACTCTGGACCCTCTACTAGCCCACCTGACACAGCTCGCAGCCGGAACGGGAGGTTTGGCTCTCGGCGTCCTGACGAAGCCGCGCTAGGAGAGCACGCTGCCGCCTCAGAAAGTTGGAGGAGGAGGAACAGGAGGAGGAGGAGGAGAAGGTGAAGGTCTGCACAGCGATGTAGCCCAGAGCGTGGGACGGCAGCTCGTGGAAGGCAGATCAGCTCCTTGCCGCCCAGATCCCGGAGCATGGGCTAAAAGCTATGTCCCTCTCCCGTGTGGAAAATCACTGTTTTCTGCTGTTTGTGTGTGTCTTCCAAGCGGTATTTATACTCATCCTCTACCGAGGTGGACCTTCGAATGTGTTTCGCGGGATTTTAGACTCGCCTCAGGTTGTGGATTACTCGAAGCCCCACGATGTGTACACAAACCTCAGCTTGTTCACCCGGGCTCCCAGTGAGGACTCTATGCCGTACTGCTCAGCTCAGTCACCGGTCCTTGGTAGGTATAAACTCAGGGTGTTCACGGTAACCTCGAACGCTTCACAGATGTAAGTTGTATCTGCTTCAAACTTTTCCACTTTGGAACCCATGTACTGATGTAATGCTTACACTGACAGAATTTTCTCCCGTTAACTAACTTGGTTTTTTTGGTCATGCGAGGAAAAGTATTTTACTGACCTATAAACTTTCCAATATTAAGGGCTTGGCTACATAGATGTTGAGATTGTAGAACAAGAGTGAAAACAGTGCATGGTGATAATATCAAGTTAGTAATACTTTTTTTTCTTGGCAGCCCTGAATAAAATGTGCCAACAATTCGGTAGCTGCCTAATATTGACATCTGACTCACTATAACTTCTGGGTTCTTTGTCTCAACCTTATATCAAGCCTGTAGTTCAATATAAATTGATTAAGTTGGATTTAAATATCATTTGCATGAGGATATAGCTTGGCACCTCGGTCTTCATGGTGAACTTATTGGCCTGTGATTGTTACACATCCTTTAGACTTAGAAACTTCTCCATTATACTTAAAAGTCCGGACACAGATTAGTTTAGATTTACACTAGAACCGCATTAGAGCTGATCCTAAAGGCAGCATTCATCCAGCTGTTGCACTACTAAAACAGTTGAGAATTTTTAAGGAAATACAAAGTCAAACCTATACAGCAAGTGTAGTGA